CATATAAGGCCATTGTACTTTGTAATTCACATTTTGGAGAAGAAAATATTTTCTCCCTAAGTAACCTACTTAGGGTACATTGCTTCCGAGTGCCCGGTAAACGGATTGGTACCACTTGGGTCCGTACCGGCTCCGACTTCAGGTTTCGACCCTCGGTACGACCGTCCCGCACAACATCAGACATTTGAGTTTCCAGGGGGATGACGTGGCGTCCTGTGAGTGGCCCAAACTTAATACCGAACTTCATTTGGCTTGCTGCTCTACGTAGGCAAGCCTGACACCGTCATGCCCTTTCTGGATGCAAAATTATTGCTTTCACAGCTTGTGTGGCCGGAAGGCGCATCCTGCTGCATGCTAGCTGGTTGATCAGCACTGCCAGAATCCTCCGGCCAGCCTTCTTCCTTCTCCACACTTTCTTGTGCTCACTGGACCACGCAGGCGGACGGACCAGCAGGCTCCGGATTTTATTGGAGCTTGAAGGGACAATGCAGCCAGCAATTTGTATATTTATTTGTTGCAGCTTTATGCATCAAGCAGCTAGTCTATGATTCTGGTTCCCTTGATAAGACCCAGGAAAGTATCCGCATACCAGCATCGCTGCGCCCGTCACTGCTTGTTACAGGGATCTGATTATCACTCGTATCAGATGCAGGAGGACTTGATTCCCTCGCGCTGACCACGATTGCCCCTGCAGCATTACGTGAAAGAAGAGAGGCAGTTACCTGCACTTTCAGTTCTGGCTCCGATCAGTGTCACGAGCAATGCAGCTTGTGCTGCTGGCAATTACCGACTGAAATCTGTCCTCTAGGAGGAGAAGGGCACCTTGAAGACTTCTTACAGAGTGCCAACACTCCCCAGCAGCTTAGGCATGGGGCCTCCGCTGCCGTTTCCTGTGAAGACTAGACAATTCAACGAGGACATCAAGGTGTGCTGAACCTTCAAGCTAGTAAGAACCTCTGTGGTAGAATCCCTACAATTGTGCTGTGTTTGGCGCTTTCTTTCTTGCTGTTTGACACAAGCGGGGAAGCACCACCTCTTGCTTGATTGAATAAGCAAATCGTGGCCTACAGAAGGAAACCATTGCTGATCTCCTCCAGCTCCGATTAAAATTGTTTCATGTCACCTTCCCCAGGGCATCAAGACGGACTTCCTGGTCAGCAGATACGAAGACTACACTGCTGTAAGTACCAAGCCACTTCTGGCAACCGCAGGATTCGTCCTATTGTCGGGCAAAAAGCTGTCGTAGCATTTACTTCGCAAGTATTCTATGGCTTGATGAAGAATATGGGGGGAAGCACACCGCTGTCTCCACAGGGGAGCTTGTCCGCTAGCCTCTCTTATGATGGAATTGCACCGCAGAATCGGTACAATTTGTGATTCTTCTTGAAGTCCGATCAGCAGTGACGCCATCGAATCCTGTACACCACATGAAGATTCTGATCATCAGGAGCAAAGCTCTGATATTCTCTTCTAATCATGAGAACAGGAAACCTTCTCCTCACCTCACCTGTACTAATCGGGATGGCTGTTCGAAAATGGTTGGATTTCGAGCGATCTGCCTCTATTCTGGACGCCGCCTGGGTGGAGCAAAGAGCAGCATTCAATGAATAGTTTGTTGCAGGTTATGGTAACCCAGATCGGGAAGATGGGAACAATTCTGCAGGCAAAGAAGGAGGAGACATACGGAGGCGCCTCCACCTACACTGTCAACACGCTTTTTGGCAAGCGAGACGAGGTGCGCGTTGCCACCCCATCAATGATGCTGAAATGTTGCTTTTTCGTAGTGCTTCTTGTATTGATGATGCTTCGACAGTCTGTGTTTAGAAAAAGCTTTCTGTACAATGATCGACGTTCACCCTTGCAGACGGTCTTTTTGGGTCTTGCCTGAATTGACTTTCTGTGGCGGCGAGACCAGGCACATGATACGTGCCAGCAATTGATTGTTTTACAGTCTTGAAGCTAGAAAGAGAAACTGAGGTTGATTGCTGAGGTGGCCGCACAGACGGGCACGTCGTGGTGACGTCTAGCGTCGTCAGTCTTACTGAAATCAAAGCAGTAGACCCGCTTCGGGCGGTCTGAATTGTCTAGGTGAGAATTAATGGTACGACTTCGTCCAATCAATATTGTCAGCCAGGTCTCGGACATCCCTACAGACTCGTCCGTCGAGTGATGTCAAATCCGTGCGTACTGCTTGAGCTGTGCAGCTGGAAACCATACGCTTACTTGGTGTCCCTGTTTGTCCCCTTCTCAGCCTCTCCTTGAAGCGTGTGCCCGCCAGCTGGCCGAGAAACTCAGCGCCGGCGACTCCTCCCGAGCACTCCTCTTGTCCCTGGGACTGCGAGATCCTTCTCCTGTAAGTATCTTTCCATGTGTCCTGATGAATCTCGCGGGACGTTCTCAGACTTCCGATTGGTTTCCTTTGATCTGGTCGTCTGAGTGACGATGTACCTGACACCCGTCTTAACTTGACGTTGTGAGTAAGGCTCTGCAATCAGAATTGGAGTGGAGAGCGCTAGAAGCACTTTCGGGTCCGCTTGCACGTTGACTCTGCATAAGCAGCGCCGGGACGTTTTCGTGTGACTGGGACTAGAAAGACGACGCTTTCTACGTCGAGCAAATTCGTCTGTGTCGGCTGGAGTGATGCGCAAAAGCCATCTTGTGTTCAGGGCGTTTGCCATGACGCGGTGCAGACCCATTCCAAATTTGTGCTTTGGTCAGGTCCCCTACCAGGGATTCGGCGGGGTTGTTTTGTCATACGAGATTCTGAACCGGGTCCACGTCTCTTGCAGGAGTCTGTCCGCGAAGTTTTGAACGCGATTGTTGAGAACGCCGTGTAAGGACCACGAGGCTAAGCAAGCAAAGGCGGCTGATGCCAGGAATCGGACATTCGCTTGGCAACAGTCTTTCTGGGAAGATGATGAGCGATGTTTGGGATCTTTAAGCGAGGCACCTCCTCGGAAGTCTTCTCGAGGGCCCGAGCCGTGATCCTTGCCACAGCGCAAGTGCATCCGCCTCCGGATTTTGAATCGTCCATGAGTACTCTGGACGGAATGCGCTCGAGTGCATTGTCGAAACCTGGTAGGCGTCTAGCAATAGCATCGGTACGTATCCTTGCGTTGGCAAGCGGCCGTGCGTTTGCAAAGGGTTCTAAAGTCCGTTCACAATGACTGATTGACACAGTCTGGATTACTACCTGCAGCAAGTACGTTTGGATTGCAGCCTTTTACAGCTCAAGGTTGAGTGTCGGTGGCAGAACGGTTTTGGTTGTATCAATAATGTTAGGCAAAAAGATTCACTCACAGCAATGGACCACCGCCTTCAAGTTGACGGTCGGTGAGACTACTGTGCCGAAGGGTAGTGTCTGAGTATCTGCATGAAAGTGCTAGATGTATCTGGAGCTGGTACTAATGTCATGCGCAGCAAAAGACTCACGTACAGGAGAGGATCTCTGAGCGCTGCGCGCGGGGGCCTACTTCGATATTGCCATGATCGAATTTAAATTGTTGCATATAAATTCGGCCTCTTTCATGTTCCAGGGCGCATGCTGACGAACGAGCAATTAATTGGATCATGCACAGCATGACACACTCGCTGATGCTGTACATGATCAAACCTAGTGTACGTGGCCTGACGTGACACAATGATGCAGCTAGACGGCATGTACGTCATGAGCACTTGTGTCTAGCAAGCGTGCTAGCCTGACGTGCACTGACGTGACACTTGAAGTTCAGCATCATCGCATGCAACCGTGTTGAACCGTCTGAGTCTGTCGTCCGTACTGTTTCATGGTCAAAATCTAGATGACTTCGTGTTGGACGTGACAGCGTCCCTTATGTGAGCGCCAGCTTGGCATGGCATGCATCATGGCCCATGCAAGCGCACCCTCCGCGCGTCGGTAACTGTCCGACGACGGACCCATGCAGGCGGCGTTATAGGTCTTTGAAAACTGCAAGTTACTGAGCGGGACATTTGCGCGGATGTCAAAGCGAACGCGGATACTCGCGAGGGCGAGCTGGCCCGTCTTGAATCATTGAATAATATCCGATTCCAGTGACAAAGCGCAGGCCGGTAGATTTGCTTTCATACGTCCTCAGCGGCCGTAGTATATTTATGGCACAGTATTGCACAGTATTTGAATAATGTAGTAACTTGAATTTTCCGCTAGGATCAACGGCCCTCCTATGCTGCAACCAATCAGCCAGCTGAGATGCCGCCAGCTAGGCAGGCCACGTTCACTAAGTGTGTTTCGCAATGGATGCTTCAATTCCGTCACCCTTGGATTTGACGGTGGGGTGTTCGAAATGGCTCACGATGAACCAAGCTAGAGAAATCCGGAATGATATCCAGGCCACAAGCCCGACTCGAATTGACGGTAAGATTACAATCTTTCTTGTAGTGTGCGGGCTCTCCAAGTATCTGCCGTTGCATGTTCGATAGACACCTTTGCCATGCGCTCTTCACATAGTCTCGATACGGTTCGCCGTAGTATCTAGCGTACCTGCTCTACATGCATGGTTCTGCTAGTCAAATGTCAGGCACTGAAAGCGGATTCAGAACCCGGTGGGATGCTATTGGACTTGCGGATGTGGATGCTAAACGATTTGAATTCCACTCGACTGAAAGGAGCTACCGTCTTTCGTTGATCTCCTAACCGGAGTTATTTCGCAAACCGCAAACAAATCAACACTGCAGTGCGTCTGCTCTTGGCCCGACCTGGGGCAAAAGAGCGAAAACGCTTGTTCACATGCACTATCTACTAAATTAACTACACAACCCTCTTTTCCTCGGGTACAGTTCTCTAAGCGCTAGTAACCAATGCGAGCAGTAACCTGATTTTTTGATACTTATGTTACACCTTTCAGGCGGCCGGGATGTACTTTCTGTCTATGGTACACTTCGCAGCAGCCTCCGCCACGCCGCACCTCTCCCTATTGAGTATCATGCAATTACTGCAAATGGACACCTGCAGAATTATACAGCATATGGAGTAATCTGTACAAATGGCTCCAGCCCTTGCTTGAATTGGCGTCATTTCGTCCTCACGCCGCTGCTGGGGCCTCCAGCGGACGTAGCGGCGGGCCTCCTCGGCATCCATTCGCTTTTCCCGGGGACTCAGGACAGCTTTCAAACCGTCCCGGGGTTTGTCAAACCCGCACAAAGTAAACTCCGTCCCCCCGGCTCCCTTAAGGGCAACCTGCTGTCGTTTGCAGTCTCCCGCCCACGCAAGGAATCTGGGAAATGCGCCTCAGTCGAGAGGTTTTTCCCGCCTCCCTCAACTCATCCCCGTTCGTATCCAAGCCTAATCGTGCGTGGACTCTTTGGAACTCAGATTCTGCCTTTTGAAACCCTCCATCCAAATCAAACGTCTCAATGCAAGTCCAGCTTTCTGAGTGCGGACCTTTTGTTTCCCAATCCAGCTCGGACCTTGTTCTTCAACTCGAACCCAATTCTCTCAACCCAAACCCGCTTTCTCGACCCAACACAAGTTTCTTAACCCCGTTTCTCTCTCTGACCCCACTCGGCTCCCTCTCCTTCCACGACTCGAACTCGGCTGTCCTCACCGGGATGTTTAACATGACCAGACATCCTCGATTCAAATCCGGGTTCTCAACCTTAACCGGCCCCCGTTACCCAAACCCAGCCGGTGCAATCTGCTCGTCCGCAATCATCTCCACCCCCTTGCCAACGACCACGTGCGTGATGACCTGATTGCACCCCGGGGCGGGGCACCGGTAACCACTGAGCACTCGCACGCACGCCGGACCGCATGTGTCGCAGGCCTGCAGAAGATTGACTGAACTTTATTCAAGTGGAATAGTCAGTACATTGTTACCATGTTACTCGTCAGTGAATCCCTTTGGGGGTTTTCGTGGATATGGCCTTCGCTACATGTGCGAGGCTGCTCTTAGCAACGCCTGAGGTGCACGGAACATAAAACTAAAGAAAGAAAATCATAAGCCAAGATAATGATAAGCTCCGACTATCACTCCGACTAAAATCCTAAGCCAAAAAGACACCCGCTCCACACTCCTACCAACCCTAACCACCAAATCAACCCTGCCCGTCCCAGTGCGAAGGTTACCTTGTTATTGTCTCGCTTACAATCATCTTTCCTGAGTTTGATGCAAGGAACTCCACCAAGGGGGCCTCGAGCATTGAAGAGACACGGGCAGTTTCGCGAGTGTTCAGGTATACCATGTTGGCACCTCCGAAGTTCCAAAAGGAAGGAGAAGCCCGTAGGAATCGAAGTACAAACAGAGTCACTAAGTATAAAGAACAAATAGCCCCCATGTTGTTGACCCGCTCATTAATATACAGACACAACAGATGATCACAGGACACACAATCGCAGGGACTTAGAAAGCTGTTCAAGAAAGGAAAAGAAAGGCTGACAAAGAACATACAATAGCAGGGACCCAGAAAGCTGTTCATGAAAGGGAAGAAAGGCTGACAAAGGAAGCAGGTGTTGTTTCAATGAACAAGCGGGTGGCAGATGGGTCTGCAAAGACCACCGCAGACGGTCTCACCATCATGTGTCTGCAGGGCAGGAAGATGACGCACTTGGCGCGTTCGATGCACATCGTGCACAGGAGCTTCTCCTGGACCTCCCTCTGGTCTTGCTCAGCCTCGCGACGCCGGCGCTGCTCAGAAAAGAGCCTTTGGTAAAGGGAATGCAGTACGGTCTCAAACGTGGCGGGTGGGGCTTCTGGCGGGGTGGGCATGGGCGGCGGGAGTGGGCGGGTTTGGGCAGAGGTATGGACCTAAGGAGAATTGATTGAAGTGAGTAGGGACTTGGGGCGATTATCATCAAGGAGCGAGATGCACTGGTACAGAAAGGTCGGAGTTGAGAGGATGGTGCAGATCAGGTGTAAGCAGACGGAAACGAAACATATAAGCAGGGGCATGACCAGTGAGAGATTCAATCAATGAGGGATCTTGATATTTGCAACCGAGCAGAAGGATGGAATGGTGTGAATGAGCAACTGGTGTTTATGGTGCGCGGGTGCAGACCTGGCAAGAAGGTGGGGATGAAGTGGCAGTGGTTGACCTGAAGGAAACCCTAAGGAGAGAAGTGCTCATTATCATCACAAGAAGTGGTTTTGACTGGAAGTGAGAAGAGACAAGGGAGTTGCACAGGCTGTGTGAACCCTAGAGCGAGGGCCAGAAGAAAAGCTGACGACTCCTCTACACTTTCAGGACTCTGCTTTGGCAGACTTTGCGAGAAAAGTTGCAATCCTGGTCCAGGATTGCTTAGGCACTGCCAGTGTATGCTGAGATAAAGCCTGTAGTCTTCTTGGTATGTGCAGGCAAACAGATAACTTGGCAGATCAGGAGTGCTACATGGCCTTGTATTTCCGAAGCCTGTGATGACTTACAAATGCAGAATCTTTATTAGGTACCTTGAGAGTACCTCTCTAATACTCTCTTAAGAGACTCTGCTTTGCAAGATGCGACTTGTGGACAGAAACGACAGATTGACTGGAATAGGATTGACATCAGCAATATTCTGGTGGGGTGTATCTATTTCACAAAAGCATAGAGAGAACGTTGAGGATGACACACAAACATTCATGGAAGAAGAGAGGTTGATGTTACACACAAACACACTCTGCTCGGACGATCCCAAGAAATGATTGCAAGAACAAAAGCATGCAGTGAAAAGGTTTATTGGCAAAGAATCACTAGTCCCCGTTCTCATGTGAAGTATACTATAGCTACTTATACAGACATGGGAGCGGGACACCTTTGAAGCAGCCAAGTATGCATGTTTGGAGAATCAATGGGAGGAAACAACTTGTCGATTCTTAAAGCCCAAGCTAGCTGTGCAGGTTGCGATCCATCAGCCTTCGCCCAATCCGGCTCTTAAGGCAGCAGCACAAATCCCACTGTAAAACTTTGTGGCATTTTTGGAAAACCAGAGAGAACAAGACCAGATGTCCAGAGTTTGTGGAGAACCCGGAAAGTCCAGTCTTATTACCTCTGCCATGCCAGGTCCGCAGACTGCTCTGATGCTCCTGTGCTTCTTTCACAATCAGAGTTCCAATATTTACCTGCAAAGCAATGCCTTGAGTCCATCAAAAGCTGACAAATTAGATTCACAAATGAGGACGCCAATAGCACCTCAGGATGGATACAGACGTCTGAAAATGCGCGCAATAAAGACTTCATAACACAGAGGTTCTTGCTTCTTCACTCCGCTGGAAAGCAGGTTCCTGCTGATTCGTGTCCCCTTTCATCGCATTCACATGTGGCCAATTCAGCTGGCAACCCTTCCTGTTTCCTGCCAGTAACTCCTAGCATGAGCAACATTGCCTTGTTTTCACCAAATGCCTCCTCCCAAACTCCTAGCTAGTGAAGCTCTGAAACTCACATTCACGTTGTGGAGCCGCTTGGCACCTGGAAAAAGTAGGTCCGGATTCCTTGGCTGAACACGCCGAACCCCGCACACTTCCGCACGGCTAGGGTTTCTCAGCGGCGGCAGCCTAAGGAGACCAGAAACACCCTCCCGCTTGGTGCAAAGACCAAATCTTCACTTATCGCCACACCTGCCAGTGCACGCGGCGCCTGTGCAACCTATGCGATTGTGCTTCCTGAAAAGAGCGTGCTAATGCGTGGCAGGAATGCAGGACGCGGAACGCTGTGGACAGATTATAGGGTTTGGGCAATCGCTCAAAGCTGGCAATTCTGCGTGGCGCGCCTCCACCGTGTTTTGTTTGGCTCTGCATATGTGCAGCGAGCTATCCCTTGTCGAAGGTGCTTGGAAGGTGGCCCCGGCCCTAGCTCGGGATGTTTTAGGAATCATAAGGGCCAGGTACTTATAATAAGCTCACCAGCCTGGGGCGGGTGGGGTTAGTTTGGGGGTTAGGGTGGGTACGGGTGCGGAGCGGGTCGATTGTTGGGTTAGGGTTTTCGTGTTAGTTGGAGCTTATTATACCTGGTTCTTATTATACCTAAATCAGTTCGCCATCCCGGCCCTGGCCCTGGGCCTTATGATCCAGCAACTGCATGTCAGACCAAGGCCAGGTTGCGTACCAGTCAGGCCACGCGCCAATAGGATTGAAGAATCGTCGATTGAAAAGATCGGACGGTGAAGACGACCTCGGTAACGTGACCGTCAAGGATTCAATTCTGCGATGATGTTGATGTCAACATCCACAGCCCACTACGGTATGATGATTACCGGTTCCGGTCGCCAACCACTGGCATCGGAATCCGAATTCCGGGCAGGCGAGCAGGCAAACTGCGCCACAACCGCGGTCAAAGACGCGTCAAGACATGCAATTGCTCGGCTAAGCGTACCCGTATTGCCAAGATTGGGCCGCGCATAGATTATTGGTTGCATATGTATACTCTTTGCTGGCACCAATTTGTGCACCTGAGGCTGCGGTGAGCTGTTTACCAACCATGAATCTACCTAGTACCGGTGAACCGGTAATAGCTATCGAAGCATAAGATGAGGGAACACACACTGCCACATAGGTATATTCATGCCATGAGCCTGAAGCCTACGGCCGAACTGGCTACGGCGTGTTTGAAACTAGAGACCATCATTCGGAGTCCACTCACTCGATTCTACAGTATCTGGAAGTATGTAACAACATCAGGTGAAACACGAGCAAGTTAATGAAGACATGAAGATTTTCACCTAAGTTGATACAAGTTTGATTGAATCAACCGCTTACTCAGGATCCATAATGCTACCGTCCGATCAATATCTAGATGTACCTTCCTTGTCATAAGAATCAATTCAAACGTGCCGGCTGACTTTGCACGAGCCAGCCCTTGCATGTTTGCGCTCTGTTGCGATTTGCACAAAATACGCCCAGATTACGCTTTATGCTTGAGGGGCAAAGCCACCCCTGTTGCCGGGAACACCCGGTCGCCATTGATGATGCACTTCGAACTTGTCCGGATCTGCAAAACAAACATGAGAGGGAGGTCGGCAAAGTGAACTCAGAAGCTACTGATTTGTTTGTTGAATTCTGAAGATGCTCCGATAAGCGGCTATCAAAAGCCTCGAGCTCGGTCGGAAGAAAGCCTTCGACAACGTGGATCATCACAAGGTAACACAGAGTGTGTGTCATCCTCTGATACTACTCGTTGACTTGTCCGTTCGAGCAACTGCCTCTAACACCCCCAATGAACCTTGTGAATGCACGTTTGCAGAAACACGTCACAGCGACGTCATTACGAAAACGCCACAGAGAACGAAAGAAACTGATCAATGACTCCCACTTGCTTCTGACGGGGCAGCAGCAACTTTCTCGGCCCGAGTCTTGGACCTCGTCACACCAAGAAAACAAACTCGCGACTTCCAAACGGAAGAATGAGTGCTGCAGTGGCGACTGGAACAACGGCCAAAAGACCGCGAGGTCCTCATCCTCGTGAAGAAATCACTTTGCGAGTTCGTCGCGCATGCCTTCCAAAAATGCTCACTGCTTACATTGGATGCAGCTCCTAAGAAACATCCTTTGAAAAAGCTCCGACATCTAGCAAAACATATCGACAATGCTGACCGACCCGAAGAGCAATCAGCAACTCCAAAAAAAGGGAACTCAAAGTGGGCCGCATTCTCCCAACAAGCACCACAGTCGTTGCTTACCTTATCTTCGGCCGTTCTTTTCACCTCCCCCTTGTCAAGGCCTCCAAAGCCGGGCTTCGCTAAGGCAGCGGCCGCCAAGCGCTTCCGCAGTTTGCTCAGCTTAATGCCCTTGAGCCCCACCTGCGAAGAACAATGGAAAGAAAAGATCATTGCAGATCGTTTTTGGACGCTGCATCATAGAGAATCTAATGAGATTCGTCTCGAGTTTCTTCCTGAGTGCAGTTCTTGGTACTGCAACAAGTAGCAAAGATGCGGATCATCATGGTCAAAGGCCGAATCACAATCAATGAACTAGACTGATCGTTTCAATTTCGCAAACCCTGTTGCTTCTCGATCTTCAAGCGTTGTCATTGAAAACAGTTGCAAATTCAAAACATCGAAGGAAGGTCAAAACTTGCATTACGCCAAATAGCCAGAGACAAGCTGAATTCCCCGCACTCTACGGTCGTTGCCAAACCTTCTCTCAGAACACTTCTTGCCAACGTTGCTACCATGAAACAACATTGAGGAAGGAAACAAAAGAGCCGCCCCAACACGATGTCCACTAGCTTTTCCTCGCCCCTCACCTCCTCAAGTTCCTTCATCAGCAATTTCTTCCACTTGATCGCCCCCACCCCCGCTTGCTCCCCTTCGTTTGCCCCCGCACCGGCCCCCTCCTTCCGAAACTCCCTATCTTTGGCATCCGCCCTCCTCGTCTTATCCTCAATCGACAGAATGTTTCCGTTCCCCACCAAGTCCTCGTCTCTCGCCCCCCGCACCGCTTCTAAAACGTCATTGTAGCTGGTGACAGCTGGCGCTTTGTCATTGGCCGCCGAGGGCGCCTCGGCAATTCCTTCTTCGCTCCCGTTGTCATCGTCAAAGTTGACCTTGCTTCCCTTCCAGCGCGCGCCGGCCACCTTCTTGGGCTGGCTGCCAATCCCAAGGCCCTGTTTCCCACTGGTCTTTTTGTCCTGCGGGACGAAGGGGCACAACATAAGTGAAACCGAGAAGCAGATGCTGAGTCAGTGTCCAGGGGCGGACGAACTAGGGGCCCCTGAATCCGTTTCCTCATACGGCAAGAGCAGAATGCAAGTCAGTGTCAAGGGGCGAAAGAACTATCCTCTAGAGGCCCTGATTCTGCTCTCTCTCGGAGACAAGCAGAATACGAAGATGGAAAGAAGGCTAGGTGCCTAAGTTTTTACAGAAACCGTGGCTGCAATTCAAGGATGGGGAGGATCGATCAAACAGAAAAAGACTATCTATGCCAGAAAGATGGAGAAGGTGCGTCGTCAAGGCTACAATTCTTCTTTACAGTAGTCCTTTTCTTTCACTCGTACGGAGCTCATAACGTCTGTGGCATGCCAACGTCAAGGCAAACAGGTTTCCCGTCATCCACCGACGAGCCCAGCATAGCCTTTCACAAATCATCGACCCCAAGGCTGTGTCAGAAGCGAATGTCATTGAGCACCAACCAGACCACCAATTGGACAACTCCAGCTCGGGTCAGAATCTGGAAATGCAAGACGCAAACGCCGATTGACTGGCCATCGATCGGCCCCCTGCTCATACCTGCACCAGGTTATACAGGTCCTCTTGATCCTGCTCCAAGAATCCCCGCTTCGCCTCGTCCCCAGTCTCTTTCTTCTTTTGCTTTTCTCCAAGCCCTCCCCCTCGCACGAACCCGTATTTGTGGCCCCACCAGTCTGGACTCTCTGCCAGACTTCTGGAAGCTGCATCGGCACCCCCCCCGACACCTGCCGTGCTCGCGGTGACAGCTGTCGTGCTCGTTGTAACAACCGTCACGCTAGTATTCGTACCGACTGCGGTCTCAATTTTCTCGGTTGCAGTTTCGTTTTTGACTGAGAGGATCTGGTCCTCGCTCGGCGAATTCTCTTTGCTGTCGCGTGACTTCTTCTTCATTTTCTTTACTACGACCGTATCTTCTGTCTCCTCTTCGGTTATGGTAACCCGGGTTGCTCCCATGTCTGCCACAGGCAGCTCCACCTTGAGCGACGATGGCTGGCCGCCCTGTAAGCAGATACTTCTTTTAGGGTTTGAAGTTTAGGGTTCCAACCTCCAGGATCCAAGCTCCACGAGCTAGGATAGGAGAACTCAAAAACCAATGTTTTCAGAGGTAAATCCAAGAAATGTGCTTGAGAGGCCTTTTATTGATGCCAGGGATTTGAACGGTGTCAACAAATGCAGGCGGCGCGACCAAGCAGCAACTCAAGGTCGGCATTGGAAACTTCCACATCACAAATGGCACAAACATCTGGCAATCTGCAGGACCGACCTTCAAAATTGACCTCTCAATCAGCTCAGTGAAACTTATTCTTTACATTTGCGGTTGAGAACTTAGATCAGCCAAGTGCCAACATGTCAGGCTTAAAGCTATTCCATTTGGCGACAAGATCCACATTGTGCATCCATTTCATTGTACATTTATTGTACATCGCGACCACCTTACCATCTCATTTATAGCCTCCAGACAAGATGAGCCTTCACACTATCAAACCTCAGACCTGTGGCTGTGCTGCCCGCTCCAAATACACAAACAGGAAGTGGTAACGGTCACACAATGCAACATCAGGCAGAAGTAAGCAAGTAGATGCTTCTATACTGACGCTGCAATGGTTGGAGCCAAAGCTCACCAAAATTTCCTGCAAGTGGTGGCTTGCATAGCCCGCCACCGCTTTTGACGCCTCCCGCTTCTTGTACCGCCCCACGTGCCGCGCCAGCTTCCTCGGCTGCTTTTCCTCCGCCTCTAGCTCTTTCACCTCTTCCTTTACACTCTTCCTCTTCTTTGACTTTCTCCCCACTTCTTCGCCCTCGCCATCGACCTTCTGCTTCTTGCTCTTCTTGACCACTTTCTCCGCATCTTCTGACTCACTGTCATTCTGCTCCGCCCCGCTTGTCCGCTCCCCCGCACTCTTGACCGTCAGATTCGCCAGGATCCGGTCATAGATAGACGTGTTGATCGTCCAATCCGCAGCCTGCTTCTTTGCCTCAGCTAAACCGACCCCGGATTGCTCAACATTCTTCCGGACTCGAATGTGCGTCTTAATGCCCTGCTTCTCCTTCCCCAGCCCCATACCTTCCTCCCACCCCATCTGCTTCAGCAGCTTAAAGGCAAAGTCATTGCGAGCAACCCCCTGGAAGAGCTTCGGCCCCTCGGAGACGCTTGAGGCCGCCATTTTGGACAGGAGAACGCGATTCAGCTGTGTGGCTCAGGGCGCCTTTCTTCTTTCTTCGCGTTCCTAAGAGGAATTGATGGAACACTCACAGATGCGAGTTCATAATCACGGCAGTCCAAGCTCAGCAGGCTCAGAACGGCAATGGTTCTGGACCTCTGTGGTAACGGTTGTACTTGCGATGGGGTCTCAGCTTGTGCCGCAATGTGCGCGAGCAACCCAGCAGTTTCCGATCGGGACTTGTGGGACGTAGAAAGTACGGTAGAGCTGTAGACACTCCTTAGACACGGTTGACATGAGCGTAAGATACAAGCTCGATACAAGCCGCTGCGCCAGTATGTATAGTACCAAGTCTATTAGGCATCTGAACGCATTCAACGAAGTCCAGCTACCGTATCTGCAACGCTGCGCGGCCGGGCACTACTCGGTCAATCTCGTATAGGTAGGTACGTATTTGGAGTTGGCTGGCAACAGGGTACCAAAACTTCAGACTCTATCCTTTGAAGCGTTCACTTGAATGCAAGAAACACTCTCCTTGCTTGATCGATTGCTCAAACCGGATCGATTGCTCAAACCTTTCAAAGCATCCAGGCACTAGGACTCTTAAAACTGTGCAGCTTTTGACACGTTTCATCCTTGGTAGACGGAGCGCTAATGCAGGCAACCTGCTGATCTACTTCAAGCTGGCACGCCTAGAGCTGGTTCGGTGGGGTTGCTAAGAAAAGCATACCAGAATGGCGCAGTATTACACAAAGCAGCAGCTGCAGGGAGCTGGAAAGTACTCGGGAAAGGTCAGAATCGGCAACTGGAACGAGGATGCAGAGCTGGACGAGATCGTGCTCAAGGTGAGTCTTGGTAAGAAGGATGCCTGAAAACAAGCCCTTGTGAAGGCTGGGGTTCTTTCAACAGGTCCCAGGAGAACAGCACAAAAGACGCATTCTGCGGGTAGAATCGGTGCTTAACGATAATGTATGCTTCAGTGAGTGCCGGCATGTCCAACGTACCCTCTATTGAAAAGGCTGCCGCTGGCTAAGCTGCTTTATAAAATGCTCAGCCCTCTCTTTCACTTACCTCCCAAAGAGATTGCGACCTGCAGTTTTCACGGGCTGAACCACCCAGAGTAGAACTGGGCGGCAGCTTCCGTTCCAGCCATACATTAACAGAGAGCACCAGCGTTTCAGGCGATTCAGGCCCTCATGTTCCATCACTTGAGCTCTCCTTTAAAGCGGGTCCTCAGAAGGCAACTTCACGGGGCGTACCTCTCCAGTATTCCACCTTATTCTAGTGAAATAATTCTCAACCTGCCTATTCCAGTGAGACGTTTCTCAACTTGCATCAATCTAGTGAAACCTTTCTCAAATCGTCTCAAAAAAAAAGATACACCCCTCCAGGTCATGTTTCTTCCCACAGCACCCCAATCCCTCGCTCACAATTTCCTCTGCAGGACTACATCGACCGCAAGGCCCGCGGCGAGCTCAAGCTCGACAAGTTCCAGCAGAGGATGAGCGTCGCCCTGGCCCCTGTGGAAACGTCGACGGTCGCCGCAGAAGGCCTTGTCCACTTCGGGGACGTTTTCTGCCTTAGGAACGTGCAGACTGGGGCGCTATTAGCGGCTGATGTCGGCGACCGAGATACAAGGCCCGGAGAGGGGTTCAAGTGCGCCGTGTCGGGAACGACGCTGCCGGCCTCGCAGGCGCCAGTGGCAAGGAACACATGGATGCTGTCGAAGTGAGTTACATGAAGACCGCCGAAGCGTCAAGGACTGACGCTGAGTGTTTGTGATGAAGCGGTCACGTAGGTTTCAATTGGGGTGTGCTGATTGCAATTTCACTGGGCAAGTTGTCATGGAGCGCATAAAGAGTAGCGATGTTTTGCACAGTCTGGTACGGAATTCGGTTGCAGAGCCGTTGACGACTTGTTGATAAAAACAGCTTTGTGCAAACTCTCCCTTGAAAAGCAACCTTTCACCAAAGTAGAGTTACGGAATCCCATCTTTCTCCTAACTCGTGTATATATCTCATCGCCAGATACAAGGGCGCACCCAAAGGAGCGGTTACCGAGCGCCATTACGACGGCGACATTTTGCACTACGGCCAGAAGTTCCGGCTAGTCGGGAACCCGATGATGTTCGGGAGGGAGATTGAGGACCTAGAGGAGCCGCTGTACCTCAAGTCGGGGCCAGTCACCACGCAGTACTTCGCCAAGTGCTCGCGGCACCAAGAGGTGGGTCTTTTGTCAGAGTCTCAAATATCAACAATACACAGAGATGGAAGAGACGGGGGACCAGATAACAAGAGAGAATACAGGGGGGTCGAAGTAAAAACAGAGGTGAAAGCCGATTGCGGCAACACGCAAAGGTTGCTACTTTGGATGCCGCGAGCACACGTTTCTCGTCCTCGCCCTCTTTTAGCGACCGAGCAATATACGGCGAACTCGAGTGGGCGCCTTCTTGTACAGGTCGTAGGTTCAAGATCTTACTGAGTACTCCAAGTAAAGTCTCCGACGGAGGGTTTTGACAGAGACAGACATGGATAAGGTGCATTTGGACGGAAGAAGCAGACGTGTGGAAAAAGACTGGAATAAGATCGAAAACGGACGGGGAGGGCCGGACAAAACAGTTGAGTGCAGCAGCCATAGTCAGGATCGGTTGCACGGATTCCGCCAACAGCGAAAGCGGTGCGCAAGCGTCAGGAGGCCGCTTGGAAGGGGAGCTGAAACAGAGGAGCGAAACCAGACAGGAATCATAGATGGAATGGAACTGCTTTCATCGGACTTGTCAGTCGTTAGAAAGTTGTCGGCACTCCTAGTACAGCCTATAGGAACTTAGATTTTCCCTGTGTTTCTGTAGGTGTCGCTCTCTTCCACCCGCAATTATGGAAGCGTCTGGCACGTGGCTCCACTGAACCCAGCGGAACGGCTGACGGCGGACGGAACGCCTGTCCCAGCCGGAGCTCCCGTGAGTCGTCCCGACCTCTCATTGAAAGGTTTCGAGCCCATTTGATGTTGGAGGTCGGGTTTGAGAGGCTTAGCTCACCTTACGTCACCAAATCTTGTGCGTCTGGTGGTAGATGTGATTGAAATTATTCGACCACTTCGGAGACATGCCGAAACCAGTGGTTTGAGTCTGAGCTTCCGCACTACTGTAAGAGTTCGCCTGGTGTAAAAGAAATCCCAACGCACGACACCCGCACATGCTTCTGCCTCTTCCACGCTTCCTGAGCCTTTCCTGCTTGAACTGGATCGACTCTCTTCCTGAGCTCAGCAAAGCAAGGGCGAAATAATTTCGCTGCCTTTATTCCATACTTTCAACGACCAGGTTTTGTTGAAAGGCTCCAGCGAGAGATTCTTCCAAGAATCGAGCAAGCTTAACGCCAATCTTTCTGGTTCTCAAGTCGTCTTGATGTACACCGCCTCGCATAACCGAGCGAGGTTTTCCCTGACCTTTCTGGTGTCCAGGTCGTTTTGAGCACTCCACCTCGCATTACCGAGCGAGGTTAACGCTAACCTCTTCGTCTCCAGCTCGTCTTGATGCACTCCGCCACGAACGAAGCCCTCTGCTGCAACGGCCTGCTCTTCGGTAACGACTTCGGAAAGGAATTGGAGGCGAGTCTCAGAAACCTTCCTGATTCTACCTCGTTGAACTGAGCATAACATGATTCGACACTCGATGACCCAAAATCCAGCACCGCTGCCTTTTGCTCGGCTTTTCCAAATGCCAAAAGGCGATTTGGCTCTCATAAGCCTTAGTAAGGCCGGCGTCAAGGAAACGTGCTTGTCTTTAGCTTTTGGTAATGATAAAGAGTTCACCCTGATACTATTCCGTTTGACAAATACTCGAACGGTACGTAACCTAGCAGGTGATTGTTGCGTCGGCATCCGCTCATCTGCAGGAGCGGTACGCACCTGTTCCGGCCGGTCCCTATTTCCCGCCTATCAGAAATCTTGATTTCAACCCCCTCTCGGATGGCACCAGCCAGCTTGCTCGCGCTCATTCGGACGGTTTGTCGCCGTCGCCAACAACCTTTTGAGCGATGCGCTTAACGTCAGCAAGTTTGAGATTATAATATTGTTGGCATTCACGGTTAAATACCTGCTGATGTTTGCGTCCCTGTTCTTGCAGATCTGCTGCCATAACGCGGCCCCGGCGAAAATGACCGGTAATCTAGAGCTGACCACAAAAGGCGTCCCGGAACAACTCGTGGCTAAGGCGGAAGGGCCCAGTAACTACTGGGTGTTCGAGGTGAGCAAGGTCACCAAACGATTGGCTCAACAACTGTGCTCTTCCTAACTTTTCTTTAGAGTCTTGTTCTCGTTCTTCGTTGCGATCTTGTTTCAAGGTGTGCCTTGCGTTCAGATTACTTGTTCACTCAAGAAATGTCCGCGGTGCGAAAAAGAGAGAATCACTTACGGAGGCCCTGAGAGTTGTGTACTCCGATCAGGAGCGGCACTTCCAATGGTGCTCAATAATTTGAATGCTGTTGCGTTGCAAATGTACCTAGAAAAATCGGATGGATTCAATCAGGGAACGCGTTCTTGTATCTTAGATTGGCTTGCTCGCGGTGGCTGACGCACAGTGTTATACGCCAATTTATTAGTCCTCTGCCTCTTCACGCAGAAGAGGTGCGAGAATCTCTCCAGCTGTATCTACGCTGTCGTTGTCAACTGTTCTGCTCTAGTGTAAGTGTAACGCGGTAGACGATGGAGATGACTCAGCTTCCAGAAAGCGGTATTTTAGGGCCGTCAGCCTGATGGCCCAGTTGTGTCAAGCCACCCGGTCATAGTTGAGCAAGAGTGTCAAGCCACCCGGTCATACTTGAGCAAGAGTGTCAAGCCACCCGGTCATAGTTGAGCAAGAGTGCTTTCTCCGGATCTCTCAGGTGGGCGACACTGTGCGCGAGCTCCGCTTCCGGTCCCCCGGGGAGAGCGTCGCGCGCCCGGCGCTCGCGCGCCTCGCGGCCGCGTTCGAAGCCGCGGGGGAAGACGCGGTCAAGGCGCTGATCCAAAACCTAGAACTGCTGGACAAGGCGAGCAGCGGGTGGCTGGATAGGTTAGAGGTTTTGAGGGTTATGAAAACGAAGGTTAGGGCGGAACTGAGCGCGGGGGAGCTGGAAGAGATCGCCAAGTTTGCGGGTTGGGAGAGTGCGACGAGCGCCAACTGGCGGGATCTCGTCGCGTACGCGCTCGACGGATGAAGCGATAAGCTGAAGGTGCTGAGGATATCGAGTCTTATGTACAGGGCTGCGCCGCTTTAGGAGCCATAGGAGTAAAACTTCTGATTGCACTGCACTATTCCCTTCGAAGTATCTTAGTAGTGTAATGGTAACGCTGGATCTGTCCAGTTTCCGTGACTTTGTATGATTAAGTTTGAAAGAGTGCTTGGAGTAAAAGTGGTGACCAAACATGAGACTCTGAGCTAGCTTCAAAAAGGTTCGGACTTGCCTCCAATATAGTCGTCTGTTTTCGAACAGCCTGGACGCCACATCTGGAAAATACTTGCGGGCCATCTTGCCCGGTGCAAAGCACGGTTTGTACAATGTAGACCGAGGAATCCGGTGACAATCAGTAAACGCAGGCAGAAAGATGAATGAAGGCCAGATGCGAGAATTGCAAATCAAGCCGGATTCAGCAGCCGCGATAATCTCGGATGATGCTTCTTGTAAGGCTATGTTCGCTGTTACACACTATTACACACCATCAACAGCTAGCGCGTCGTCTAAGCAGTGGATCACAATCAGATGGAATACAAAGCTTACGCGATAATGATTCACTCGTTGAGGCTTGGCATGGCCTAGAGTATCGCATGATTTATCGGTCCCTTGAATTTTGCAGACTTTTGAAGATGAACGGAAAACGGCTCTACTTTCAACCCCGCTTCAGTCCATCTCGTCGAGTTCAAAATGATCAAAAGACGGGCCTGCATTATCGTTACCTGACTCTTCTTCAGTCAACATCGGCACAGCACTAATCTGCTTGTTGATATCGCCCTCTACGCTTCCTCTTATCACCGCACGGTTACATCCCGGCAGCAAATCTTGTTCCACCTTCGAACCACGAGAATCTGCGCAATCACCTGCTGTCACGTGCCCCTTCTGGACCGGCCATGCAATCTTGCGAACGACCGGGCTGCTACTCTCTGCTTCCTGTGGCGCACAGCTCTCCTTAAGCAAATTCTGGCCGACTTCGATCGTTTCTGCACATTCATCAGACTCTGGCTTCACGTCTCTTTCTGCGGCATCCTCTCCAAAGACGTTATCAAGAGTATGCCCTTCGCGGCAATTATCCCTGTCCGACGTCACATCGTCCCTCCCAAGATCCACCGCATCCAACCCCAGACTGACGTCACCAAGCGTTTCTCCTCCTTCTTCAGGCGGTTTCGCATTTCCCCCCACCAACTCTGCTTCGCTTGCCGGCTCCTGGGCCTCCCCAAGCCGAACCGCGCCCGTCCACAAGTCCCTAAACTTCGCAGTTCCCCAAATCACAGGACGCCGCTCCGTCAATGTCAAGACCTCGACATCCTCTTCATTATTGCCCACTCCTAGTTCCTGGAGATCGTCGCACTCCAAGGGCTTTCCTTCACCTACCCCGTCGCTCTTGGCCGCGGCCGCTTCTTCAGCATCTGTTGCCAAACCCGCGCTCTTCTCAATGCTTGCGCGCCGCGAGTTGCGACCGCTCGTCGCGAGACCGAGCGCGCGTGCGCTCTCAAGTAGCAGCGCGTGACTGCTATTGTTCAGGACCTCCTCCGCGCGCACTGCTGCCCGCTCGAGCGCGCGAGCGCGCGCCTCGGCCCGAAAAGCCTCCTCGCGCGCCCGGTGCTCGCGCGCGTCGTCCGAGAGCTTCGCGATCGCCGTGACGTCCAATTCGACATCCTTGTTACGGTTTCGCTCATTCCTCGCTTCCCTTTCGGGGGTCGATGTGCCGCTTGTGTCGCCCACCATAACCCAGTCCCCAATTCCGCCGGCTTCTGGAGTTCCGTTTCCGCTTCCTCTGGATTCCGGTGACGCTTTCTCCACCTTCTCGAACGAGTGGTCAGAGTCCGCCGGGCTGCCAGCGGACCCCTGCGTCTCTTCCGCCGGAAGTCCGTCGATGTCCAGAGTCAAAGGCGCCCTCGTTTCGCAACCCGATTCCGCTCCCACTTCCTCCACCGGAACTCCAGCAGAATCCAAGGGCGCACTGCTTTCATCTGCAAATCCTTCCTGGTCAGCTGTTCTTTCGTGCAACTTCCGTTCCGCTTCTGCTGCATTCCGTTCCGTTTCCGCTGCTTCGGCTTCCTTCATGGTTGATTCGACGGCCGCTCCGATGGCCTCGCTGACAATGTGCTCCGCTGCAGCGGAACGCGCGGCCTCGAGGCGCTCGCGCGCGGCATTCGCGCGGGTCTCCGCAATCATGTCATCAAAAGCTGCACGAAAAAGAAGGATATGTCTGTGTTGACATATCATACACACACATACACACATACACACATACACACATACACACATACACACATACACACATACACACATACACACATACACACATACACACATACACACATACACACATACGCTGGGACGTTTTGGTTGCTGTCAAACGGTTGGAAGTAGAGTAGTTCATGTAGAACCACCAAGGAGCAACACCCATAGGAAAGGCGTTTCGGAGAACGGGAGAGTGCTTCCTCGTCCAGCCAGATATTCCTCTTGAATACCGTGGAAAGGTCTGCATGTTACTTCGCTGAGCAAATGGCAATCTGCAACACCTGATCCAACAGCAAGCTGATGTCAAGCTTGAACGACCGTCCGAAATTTCTCGCTCCACTTCCCGGCGATGCCGGTGAAGCTGAAGCTTTTACTTGTACGGCGCGACATCTTCTGAACGACCATGAAAGAACATAGAGATGGAGTTTACGAGCCGCTAAAACACCGAACTGCAACCTTGAGCATTCTGTTCGCTCGCCTAGCTGTCGGGTAAAATCACAACGAACGACGAAAAACGTTCTCACCTTGTCGATGCCGCTCGCGCGTTTGTACCTCCTCGTCTCGAATTGCTCCTCGCATCGCTTTCTCGGCCTGCAAGCAAACGCATAACGGGTAAGCTATGCGTTAGCTTCGATATGTCCTGTAAGAGAAGAGGCCACAAACTTTCCAGGGACAAATTCAAACCCACGAGCGGTCGTGTCGGGACAATTCATCTGTTCAGCGAATCCTGCCTTCTACAAATATCCTCGGGGATGCCGAGCTGGGCAGAGCTACCAAAAGTCACCCACGCCAAACCTGAGTCTGACGTCACGCTTACGTCAAGCCCTCCCCGGGCCCACGCCTCCGCGAGTCGCCGCTCCTTCTCAAACACCGGGCTGTCGTCCAGGTACTTGAGCGTGGGAATGGCGACGATGAGGCTCTTCCGGTAGTATGACGTCGTGCTGACGACGGGGTTGCCCACTAACCGCAGCAGGGTTAGCGGCAGGGTTTTGATGACGTCGAGCGCGGTTTCGTCGGCGATCTTGTTGCCGGAGAGGTCCAGGGAGCGGAGGCTAGGGCACTCCTGTAGAGGGATCCCGTAACAGTGAGATTGTGCTTCGTATTGGAGAAGGCGGAAGAAAAACTGAGAATGGGAGCATGCTCTAACCTGGAGGAGGCAGCAAAACGGATGATCACTTTGATAATTCGAAACAAGCTGGTAACCTGACGATGTGCGTGACCCCTTCAAGGCGTGACCCCTTCAATCTATGTAGCGAGCTGGTTTTGATTGTGCAGTGCCGACCTGTCTCACTTCTCCTAGCGTTTGTAGTCCAACTCGTCTCCCCGCATCGACGTCACTCGGAAGGAGATAATGGTTTTGGTGCCCTGGAATAAGCCCCTCTCAACAACCCGGTCGAGGAAGAAACCGTTGCTCCTGAAACCGTTGCTCCTGAGATTGCGGCTCACATTCAACCTTTCAGAAACTCGAACAAAATTTTTCATTCTGGGGAAGCATGAGTGGGAACGAAATCTCAAGAGCAACAGTGGCCGAGTCTTGACGGCTTCAAGAAGCAGAAAGGGCTTGCCTTGAGGTGTCTGACGTCACCCTCCGATGCTATCTTGTTGCCTGTGATGGTCAGCTGACGCAGCAGAGGGCAGCAGGCCAGGTTCTCGATCTTGCTGATCTGCAGTAGAGTGATTGAAATCCTCGTCAAGCTGAGTTCGACCAGAGATCGTCGCTCCGATCATATGCGGCATGTTCAGAAAATCTGAATCTACAAGACACCATCCTACTCCCTGCTTCTTTTGGCTAGAGCTACTTGAATGTTCGATCAATAGTCTGCTGATGAAGAGGCACAACTCTCTTTTGGAAGAGAAGAAGAGAAATCGAATCCAGGGCTGCGCCAAACGGGTTTTGCACGCCTCGCGACCTCGTCGTTCTAGTTCCATCCAATCGAGTGAGCATCAACGCTGTGTGGAAATAGCAAGATCTCTTACCCATTTTAGCACGGCCCACATCCACATCGTGGCAGCAAAGCCGAATTGTAGTCATGGAAAAAATGTTCAGCGGAATCACAGAGGAGCCGTCCTCTCGCCTCAGCCGAATGTGTGACCCTGGAAGTGCAACTTGCAAAGCGGTCGTGCAAAGCAAGGACGTCATTGCTTGGAAGACCGATTCGGTGTTCCTGAAGGGCAGATGTCTGACCTGGTTGTCCGAAAGGTCCAACACTTCCAACTGCTTCAGCGTCTCGAGGCCTTCGATGTCGTAAATTAGATTCTGCAGGCATAGGGAGATCACAGACTAATGTCGCGATGCACAAGAATTTCTTCATCGAAGTGAGGGCAGCCATCGCTTCTTGTCGAGTTGCATTGACTCGGTTTGAGTTAAGGAATCAACCCGGAAACAAAGTTAGCTCAGTAGAACTTTACTCTGTCCTCAAATCGACTCTTGGGCTTTGTCTGGCACGGTTGCATATAGGTGTCAAACCTATGGATCTGGGCCGCTGTTCCCCTCAAAGCAGGCGATGTAAAGATCTGCCTGACAGGTCGGCCTTTATTTCCTTACGAAATCGGGCCGAAAGTTGGTTGGAGTCGGAAACTCCATGTTGGAAAAGAAAAAGCGCCTAAACACCTTTTGAGGGGAATTTTCTTTTGGAACGGTGGTCTCACCTGATTCAGGGACAGTGATCGAAGATTCGTGAGCTCGTTGAGCCCCTCAATTGTTCTGATGGCTGCAATCGCATGCAGGTCGTAAATCAGTCCGTCCCAAGCACTGGCTTGCAAAGTACGCCTCGTTATAAGAAACGGTGCCGCTATCGATTTGAATGCGCCGTTTGTATTACTGGTCTTGCCCACTACGTGCTGACTAAGAAACATATGCCAAGCAGAGTGGCAAAAGCTGTTCCTGTCGGCGGGTTTTGAAGTTACCCTGCAAAAGTGTCTTTTGTACGGCCGTTTCGTTAGCAGCGGGATCTACCAGCACCACCAGACACTGGCACAGTACATTTAGGAAGCAAATAACAGACTCACAAATGAGTTTGTAGGCAATCTAAGAAACAAGGAGAACGTTTTAAAGCAATGTCTCACCATTTCCTTCAAGATAAAGCGTCCTCAGGCCAGTAAACGGCTCTAATGATTGCAGTTTTTCGATTCCCTGCAAGCATGTAGACAGTAGCCTTAAGAGCAGGCATTCCAACAGAATGTGATCTGCTTTGGCCGCATATTTGTGTGCTTTATACAGCGCACACCCTTCTCGCCGTTGGCTGCATGAATGTGACCCTGTGACACAAGATAGCTGATCGGAACGATGCTTGTCCAGCAACTCTACCTTCTGGAAAGTGTCTCCACTAAAGATAATACTCAAGTGTCGAGCCAGCAGAAAGCATGATATATCATTTATGAAAGGTGGTGACACTTTGAGTGCGTCAAGGTGGGGGCCTCACCTTGTGGTGCAGATGCAGGACGTCATTGAGCTCTAGACAGCTAGCATATCTGCAAGACAGCGAGTTGACCCTGACACCATGATCATCAAGGTCACTTGAGCTTTTCAAACAGACAGATTCAAACTAACATTGAAGCTTATGGAAGATTGAAGTGAATCTCCTCGGCAACTCTCCTACATTTCGTCGCGTCAGCACTTCTTTCTTGCACGTTCAAGACCAAGGTCTACCAAAAACAGCAAGGAATTTTTTTGTCTGTTGTTTCAAGCTCCCACCTGGGAATGACCCCTTCTGATACAAAAACTTTTTGGGCTAGGCAATGTTGTTTGCAACACGGAAGCATATGTCTACAAGGAACGGCCCAATGCTGAGTCTTCTTTAAACAAAAGGCGTAGCTAGCGGCCATCCGAATGTGTGTAAGTAATGCTGGCCGAACAAACCGTCATGGCTCTCTGTCAGGTAAGACGGGGCTGTGCAGAAAAATGCTGACTGGACACATAGATTTGAAGCAGGAAAGAGGATACTCACAACTTGAGCTCCCTGCAATGGCGTCGCAGTGACCTATTGGTCAGTTCAAAGGCCATGTTGAGCGATCGTGTTGCACCAATGCAAAACCTAATGTAGAGCTTTCAGACGCTTTTATCTGGTCAGCTCTGAATGAGTGGCATGCCGGATGCCCAGCTCTGTTGTTTTAGCTGGTCAGCTTTTAGTGAGTAGAAGGCTCTCGTACATGAATGTAAGCTTGGCAGCTAAACCGGCTCTTCTCTTGTATATCAAAAGCTGATTGTTCAAAATGAAGTATGCGTCCTCAGAACCTCAGAACAAGCTCAATCTAGACTTCTTGAAGTCTCCAAAAATTCTGCCGACCTACAATCGATACTCCAATCGTGCTCCAATCAATTGAATCGATTCTGGAAGAGGTTGATGCACCCTGGACGCCACCATCAAAAAACTATCACATCGTCACAACGTCAGGAGTGTGAAGGAGAGTGCAACGTTCACCCAAGGGCAAAAGTCAAAGCATCCAAGCTAGCATCGTGAAAGCAGCAATTGGAGCTGGGCGGAATGCACTTGGAGAGAGCTTGGAGAAGCTTAGTATACCGTACCGGTCTAGGTAGAACCAGTGCACACTGCAGGCTTCACCATCGTGCACATTCCAATTTCCAACACACCTACCTAGCTTGGACTATGCTTGCCGTCGATCTACAGTCTACAGAATGAAGAGAAGCTGAGTAGCCGTTGATCTTTAATCCAAACCGGTGGCAGGTATGTTACGCACGCTGACGCTTTGCACGCGCACCCGCGTGACCCGGCGTATGGTCATGATAACTTTAAACTGTGGCCGAGCGCGCGTACGTGGGGCGGGCCCGGCGCCACTGCAACAACAGACAGGCCCTAGTTGAAGTTGAAGTTGAACTTGGAAGTGGGGCGCCATGCTCAGGCTGATGCCACTCAATGGTTTTGGTGTGGCGACGCATTGAGCGGCGGCCCTGCAGTGACTCGTACTACCTAGTAGGACAGTAATAGTTGTAGCCTGCAGTGAGTGGCTCTTCATGCAGTGGCAGGCCGACAACAGGCAATAAGATTGATTCTGGTTGTAGATCTCGCCACAATCAGCAGCCAGCTTTGTATGAGCTTTGTCACAAGTCTGTGTTCCCTCTGCAGTCTGTTTGAGTCTGTTTGATAGGCTGCAACCTTCCTCCTCGACCATCGTTGCAATCAGTCACCGATGGCCAAAACAAGAGGGACTCCCCAGTCTGTTCGGGCCGGGAATTCATCCCTTCAACGCCTTGTTGAAATGAAAAGTGCTCATGACACTGCGGTTCGACAAGGCCGCATCGTGAAAGTACATGGCAAGAATGTTGAGAAGACCAAGGTGGTTGAAGCACTCACAAAATTCCAATGCGTAACTTGCAAGGGCTACAGTGGAGGCAGTATGATGCGCAAGGAGTGCCTATGTCAACCGACGGAACCTGTATATTCCTGTGGAGCCCACCATCAAGACCCTAACTTTGATTCCGAGACAGCAAGACAATGTATATCATGCTCGAGAGTTGTGACCTGATCTGAAGATAAAACGGTCACAATTCTTATGGAGGCCTTGCACGGCCAATATGTTCGCTGCCCCAAGGAGGGCTGCTCCTTGTTTGTGGCGGCTGATGGCCTAGCAAACCACCTGTCAAGGAGCTGCAATTTCAATCGAGTGACGTGCCAGAAGCCAGGTTGTGGAAAGACGTGAGTGCCTATCGCAATTTTGCCAGTGAGGCTGCTTCTTTCTTTTCTGGTGTCACCGGTCAGTCATTAGCAATTATTGTTTAAAAAAAGGTTTGAATCCTTCCTGATGCATCTCCAAGCAGGGTCTGACACAACCAACCTCGTATTTATAAAATGTAAACGATACCACTTCAGTTAATTTCGTTATCTGATTCAGTCTAGCGCGACGCTCGATCTGCAAATTTAAACCCGGCGCAGCGCCGGGTCGTACGGCAATTTTGAATCGAGTAAGAAATTTTCGGACTTAGCCGTTTTCGGAGACCAAAAAATGCCCGTACGTGGGGCAAAATTGAATATTCACTACAAAAAAAATCATAAGCCGACGTAAAAAAACATTTTGGTCAAACCGTGCGGTCAAAGTCTTTGAAATACCCCCCCTCCTAAGTTGAGTGATTTGTCGGTTGCACTTTCCCCCCCTACTCAAAGGACCACGGTGAGATATTTACGTAAATACGATTCTACGGATAAAATTCGCTGTGAATTGCGATATGCGCGCGGACTCAATAATTCAACGATCGTTTCCCCTTTCGCCCCGTGTCTCGGAACTTCAGGCTGGTTGTGGAAGGCCCAAAGAACCTCTGAACCGCCATTCTGAGGAAGTCTGATCATTGTTTAACAGCAGCTCAGATGTTGGCGATCTTCCAAACGCTCTCGCAACGTTTTAGAAAGCCTGGCATCATCTATAAAGAACAGCTTTGAGAGTTCTTTCATTACAAAGAGGCTCTGAAATGCTGCAGATTCCTGGCGAAGGAGAAGAGCCGGCACTCGGCTGAATGTGAATCCACAGAGTGCCAGTATTCTTTCAGGAACAAAATGCTGGGAGTTGTGGGTTGCACATGGGTTGGGAATCAAAGGAGAGGGACACTCACAAGTGTGCGTTGGGCTCTCCTGACGAAGCAATTCAGACGCTTCGTAAGTTTGTAGAGTTCGTTTCTGCCAAGCTTGAAGAGAATGGCATAGAGGATCCCCTTGTAGAATTGCCGGATGACAATCAATCAATGCAAAGCAAACCTGAGTCATCTGAGAGTAGAGCTGCCTCATTGACATCAAACTCTAATGGTTCCGAACAGTAGTCTCTTGTGGCTTGCTTGTTAGGCAATCTGATATTGGGTGTCAGTCAGGAATCTGGGTATGGAGGCCCTTTTCAGGCGGCAGGTTTTGAAAGAGGATTCCTGTGCGGAAGTCAAGAATGGTGAGATGAAGTCCTTGTCAGAAACCACTCGTTTCAAGTTCTTGATTCGAAGTGACACCATCTCTGTGTTCTTCACATTCTATCAACCCGAGCAATTCAACTGCTTCTCCAAATTGTTATGGACGAGCGTCATCCTCGACAATGTGCATGCGTTACTTGCACAAGCAAAGATTGAAGTACTGATTGGAATGCACGGACAGTACGTAGCCCCCGGATATGATCAAGTGCGTTGCATACCATGGTCGTTCACCACATGGCCGTTCACTATTATAGTTGCAACTATAATCAGTTACCGGCCACACGGGACAGCTACGGTGCTTTTTCGCCCGGGGGAAAATTGCCGCAGACCAATTTATTTCGGGCGCGCGACGTAGCATATCCGTACGGTATCGCAAATTTCCCCCGGCGAAACACAGGGGATGTACAGGACCTCGATGGGTACTTCCGAGGATATTCCTGCCAAAAATTTCACATTTGCCCCCAAATTTTTCTAATTTGTTGCATTTTGGCCCTAAAAATGGCCTTTACATATGGCTATAAAACTGCAAATTTAAGGAA